GCGGGAGACGCCGGTGACGGGCGGGTGCAGCCGCAGGCTCTCCTTGAGGCACATGGTGAGGAAGGGCAGCCGGGCCAGGTCGTCCCTGAGGGCGCCCGCCGTCACCGGGCCGCTCGGGCTCTCCACTCCCAGCCCCAGCCCGAGACCTGAGCGTCGCGGTTCAAAGCCAGCCCGGGCAGGAAAGTCCCTGAGACTCTGATCTCCAAGGAACCACCAGGAAAGTGGCGCTGGGGCTCAAGGGGCAGAGCGCCGGCCTTAGAGCAAAAAGGCTCAGGGACAGCGCCAGGCCCTGAGTTCAAACCCCGGGACCGGCACATGCACACGCACGCGCACACACAGCAAAACCCCATGTTGGCCCTGGGAAGGAGGCTCAGTGGTAGAGCACTCGCCTTGCATGCCTGAGGCCCTGGGTTCCATTCCTCAGCACCACATAAGCAGAAAAAAAGCCGGAAGTGGCGCTGTGGCTCAAGGGGTAGAGCACTAGCCTTGAGCTGAGGAGCTGAGGGACAGCACCAGGCCCAGAGCTCAGACCCCAGGACTGGGGGCAGGGGGAGACGCTTCCTGGGACCAGGGAGGCTGTGGGCAGGCCTAAGGCCTTCACCCCCCCTCATGGCCCTGACCCGGCCTGGCTGGGATGCTGGGGGGCACCAGACACTGGGGGGAAGCTGGGGGACAGCTGCACTTGCTTTGAGAGGAGGGACGCTGCGCCCGCCCTCCCCGCCTTTCACGAAGGCCCCAGCACCCAAGCTCTCCCGTGCCTGCCCAGGATCCCCCGACCTTCCACAGGCAGGAGGAGGCCATCCGGCCCAGGGCCGCGCTCACCACTCCACCTCCTGCGGGTCGCGGTCCCGCAGCAGCTCCCGCACCTCCTGCCGGCAGCGCTCCTGGTGCTGCGGGTGCTTGGCCAGGTTGTAGAGGACCCAGGAGAGCCCGCTGGCCGTGGTGTCGTGGCCTGAGGGGCAGCCGCGGGGCGGGTCACCGGGCTGAGCGTGGACGGCGCCCGGGCAGGGAGGGCCAGCGGGGCCCCAGGGTGGAGGGACTCCTGCCCCAAGCCTCACCCCCAAACATGAAGGTGTCGGCCTCCGCCCGGATGTCCTGGTCGGACAGCGCCTTCCCGTCCTCATCCTGGAAGAGAAAGCAACGCTGCAGAACCGCAGGAGGCCGAGGACGTGGAGAACAGCCCCGAGCACCCACCTTCCACCCCAAGCCGCGCCCGCAGGGGCAGGGGCTGCCCGGCCACCACCACCCCAGGCCCGGCCTGCGTCCTCCTCTCCTAGCCACCTCTCTACGTCTGGCTTTGTGATGATTCACTGAAGATAAAGAGTCTCCCCGACTTTCCTGCCCGGGCTGGCTTCGAACCACCATCCTCAGATCTCAGCCTCCTGAGCAGCTGGGATGCCAGGTGTGATCACCGGCGCCCAACCCACCGTCTACACACAGATTTTCTCTGGAGAACTTCCTGAGGCTGAGAACACAGTTTGTGTCTCCCCTCCCTGCCCCCCCATCCTCTGCCCGGCCCACCTTGGCCAGCAGAAGCACGTCGATGAAGTCCAGGGTTTTGGCCTTGGCCTTGGCCTGGAGGCCATCATCCAGGCCCTGGCCCAGGAGGGAGCGGCGCCGTTCCCGGATGACGGCGTCGGTGAAGGCGTGCACCAGGCGGCAGGCCTTCCGGAAGCGGCGCCCGTCGGGGGTCAGCTGGTACAGGAAGTCCAGGTGCAGCAGCGGTTGCTGGTGTCTCTTGGCCACCAGGGCGCTGAGCTCCACGATGGCAGCGATGTACTCGCTGGGCTTCCTGCAGGACGAGCCCGACGGAGGCCCCCCTGAGCCTCCCCACTCCCCTCTCCCCCACCGTATGACCCAGCCACCCCAGGCCTGACTCCATCTCCCTCCTCCAGGTCCCAGATCTGCACCCCTGGAGTGCAGCAGGCTCCTCACAGCTCGGGCCTCGGGCCTCAGTCTCCCCATGTCTCCATGACCACCAGCTCCATCTCCGCGGGGAGCGCTCACCTGCCAAAGGCTTCTTTGCCAGCCCATGGTGTGCAACTGGGTGGGAAGTCATGGGCCCTTTAAAAGGCAGGGCTAGGCCTTTGGGGTGTGGCCTGAGGGTCTCACTCAGCCCCTCCCTGTCTCTGTCTCTTGGCTTCCCAGGCCTCTAAACTGGAGATGAGCATGAGCTGAGCGTCTCCTGGACTTTCTTGCCCAGGCTGGCTTTGAACCGTGATGCTCAGATCTCAGCCTCCTCTCTGGGTGCCCTGGGCCTCGCCGGGCACTCACTCCTGGCAGTCGCTGTGGAAGCCGAAGACGCATCTCAGCAGACTGTCCAAGGTCATGAGGCTGATGTGCTCGAACATGTCCAGCTGCGTGACGCCCTCCGCGATCAGTCGCCGCCACTTGGCCTGGCCAGAGAAGGGGGCGGGGCGGGGCCTCAGTGGCCCAGCCTGTCCCCCGGGAGGCACAGGGCCACCTCCAGCCTTCAGTTGGAGATCAGACTCTCCCAGACCTCCCTGCCTGGACTGGCTTTGAACTGCGATCCTCAGATCTCAGCCTCCTGAGCAGCTGGGATGACAGGCGGGAGCCACCGGTGTGGCCTTCACAGTGGGGATTCCTTTTTTCTTTTCTTTTTACAAAAGAGGAAGCCATGGCTGAAAGGGACCCCGCCCTGGCCTCAGAGTGCCCCCCAGCTCACGGGGCCGCGGCAGGCACGCACGTGCATGGTGTCCACGCTGCGGTTGAAGATCTTGGTGTATGGCTTCAGGATGCTGAAGTGGAAGGCGGGCGTCAGCATGCGCCGGTGGCGGGTCCACTTGTCCCCGGCGCTCAGCAGCAGTCCGTCCCCTGGCAGTGGCAGAGTGCGTCGTGGGTGAGGGCAGCGCCCCCCGGGCCCTGGGGCTGCCCCCGCCCTGTCCCCCTGCCCTGTCCCCCCCTTGTTCCCCCTGCCCTGTCCCCCCCTTGTCCCCCCCTTGTCCCCCCTGCCCTGTCCCCCACGCTCACCCAGCCAGGGCCTCAGGAACCGGTAGAAGACGGTGTCCTTGGGGGCGACGGCAGCTGGTGCAGGACAGGCAGAGGGAGAGGTGGAGTGGGGCTCCCAGCCTGGGGTCCCCCGTCCCCGCCCCAAGCCCGGAGGGAAGGGGCGGCGGGGGAGGGGGAGCACCGAGGGCGCACAGCGCACCCCTAGCCTGCGGACCCCCGACCCCCGACCCCCCACGCGCGGGCGTGGCAAGCCCGCACGGCGCTGTCTGCCGTGTGCAGGACTCCAGTGGGCGCAGGCTCCTCCCCTGCCAGGCGGGTGAGCTCCTGCTGAACCACGCCTCCAGCCCCGACTTCAGCGTTTTGGTTCTCTTTTCTCATACCCGACCCAGGGCTTGAACTCAGGGCCTGGACACTGTCCCCAAGCCTTTGCCCGTCACGCCTGGAGCTCACCTTCCTGTCTCCAGAACTTTCTCCAGACTCCCCCCCCCCCCCCCC